TCACCACCTGAGCTGAAATCCAGAGTCAGATGCCCAGCTCACTGAGCCACCCTGGTGACCCTGTGGAACTTATTTTAAAGCAGCACTCAGAATGTAGGTGTTGGCACACATTCTTAAATAATTTACTTTATAATTAAGCCAGGGCATATTCTGAAAAAACTTGTCAATTATAAACTTCAGAGTATACATTCCTAGTAAAGTGACCTGTTGTGCATAGACAGCATTTATCTAGGAGGCTTCTGCAAGCTGGACTTTTGTTCCCCTGGTAGAGTTGGGGAGCTCTGGCCTCCAAAAGGTGTTCCTTGAATTTCCCTAGCCAAAAGCTACTTCTCTCCTCATACTAACCGTAAAGTTATGGTGTTTATCACTTTCATCCTTAGTGGTATTATTAATTGATGTCCTGTCTCTACTGCTACATGGGAAACCTGTTTTTTTTTTTAATTTTTTAAAATTTATTTTAGAGGCACCTGGGTGGCACAGTTGGTTAAGGTTCTGACTCTTGGTTCTGGCTGGGGTTCTCAGTCCTGAGATCAAGCTTCAAATTGGGATCTGTGCAGAGCATGGGGTCTGCTTCTCTCCTCCCTCTGCTCCCCCTGTCCCATAAAATATATTTATCTATTAGAGAGAGAGCATGTGAGTGCAAAAGTGGAGGGAGGGTCAGAGGGGGAGGGAGAGAGAGAGAGAGAGAGAATCCTTAAGCAGGCTCCCTGCTGAGCACAGAGCCTAATGTGGGAGTTTGATCCTAGGACCTGAGCTGAAATCAAGAGTCAACAGCTTAACCAACTGAACCACCCAAGTACCCCTAAATGGAAAACCTTTTTTTTTTTTTGGAAAACCTTTTAAGAGCAGGAAGAGGGCAGCCTGGGTGGCTCAGTGGTTTAGCGCCGCCTTCAGCCCAGGGTGTGATTCTGGAGACCCGGGATCGGGTCCCACGTTGGGCTCCCTTCATGAAGCCTGCTTGTGTCTCTGCCTCTCTCTGTGTGTCTGTCAGGAATAAATAAATTTTAAAAATCTTTAGAAAAAAAAAAAGAGTGTTTATCAATGAATAACAAGAAATATCTGTTCCCTTAGTGCTTTGAGCAGTGAGTGTTTTTGAATGAGCAAATAAATAATTGTGTCCATGTGGAGGTGACCTGAAAAGAGAAAAATGAAATCGTTAAATTATTCTATACCATAGAATTAATCACAACCCATTTCAAGATGGAGTGGGCATAGAAATGTAAGTACAAATCCCTCCGTAGATAGCAAATGGAGGACTAAATCAATTAATGTCTTGAGTTACTTACTTGGTGGCTCTGTGTTGGTACTTTCATTTAAAGAATGGTCAAAACTAAGCCTTATAGTACTAGCTTCATGTGCTATGGCTGCAAAAATCAAAGACTGGCCTTGGCATTGCCAAGACCAGTGAAAATATATTTAGACCTACTTTGCCAATTCTAATTCTTGACTTCTATCTCTCATGGCTGCCAAAGAATTATAACTTCCAAGAATTTTTTTCCTACTTTAACATATTGGATTTTTTTTTTAACATATTGGATTTTAATAGCAGCTAAAACCATTTATATTGTCTGGGACTATCTGAGAATTTAGTAGGTCATCCTGCCATACCAGTGACTAAGTGCAAGGCCTCCGGATTCTAGAACCTGACTTGTGGGCTCAGATTTCAGACCCTCAGCTTACTAGCTGTGTGACTTTTGACAAGTAACTAAACTTCTGTGTCTCTGTTTTCTCATCTAAAGTTGAGGTTGGGTAATAATAGTAACCATCTTACAGAATTGTTAAGATAAATTAGTTCATTATTAAGGCTTTTCTGGGACACTGGAAATGGTCAATAAACATTAGCTATTATGATGGTCATGGAATACCAAATGACGTGACCCATCTTTATCCAGTCATTATTTTCCTTTCATTGTTAAGGGGAATGTTTATTGAAATTCCCTCTGAGATTTAATAGTAAAGATAATGTTAGAGATCAAATTTCAGTGGTATCTGAAAGATTTGGATATGAAAACATTGGCTATAAGGTCTTCCCAGATAGAGGAAATGATGTGAATAAACTCTGATGGGGAGAAATGTGTGGTTGTCTCAGGAATAGTAATTCATGTTAGCTGCAGTGTAAGGTGTCCTATGGGGAGAAGTGAGAGATTAGTTCGGAGATTTGGGATTAGCTCATGGAGGCCCTGAGATGGCAGGCCAACGAGTTTGGATTGGGGGCCTTTGAGTTCAGAGGTCCCTTTTGCAGCAAAGTAGAGAGAGGAAATATTAGAGGGAATGGGGTGGAGGTAAGGGGACCAGCTGGAAGGTGGTTGAGTTAGTAGGAATAAAGAGGAAGAGGATGTGGTCTTGATAACACTTTGGAATTTATGAAAGGGGTAGGAGGCTCTCAAGCATAATTAAGTGCCATTAACAGAAAATAAGGTTTGGGATAGAGAAATATATAGATTTTGGTTTCATGAACATCAGTTTGAGGTACAGATGGGACAACCCAAGAGAACCATCCCTTTGATAGAAATTCAGAACTAGAACTCCGACAAAAAGTTCAGTATTAGAGATAAAAAGCTGAGAGTCATTTCCAGATGTGTAGTAGTGGTTAAGGACATGAAAATATATGAAATTCCTAAAGACCATACCCATAGACTTCAAAGAGATCCTATACTTCTTGGGGAGAGACAGCTAAGGCAAGAAGCAGTAAACATGGTGACAAAATTCTGGAGCATAGGAATTCAGCTGCTATTGTGTGTGACTTAGAGCCTCTCCTTTGCTTTTTCTACAGCACTTCCCAGGTTTTAAGCCTGCTCATGAACCACGGGAGGAACTTCCTACTTCCCTTTTTCCAGTCACATACTGATGGCCAGTAACCCTCCAAGTTACTTTAATATTGGGCAGAGAATTAAGCTCCAATTACGGAATTTTAAAATGGCCATATAAAATCTACATATTTTGTATTACAAAGTTTGAAGATGGACCCTGAAGAAATAAATTTAAATTAAAAAAATTTCAAGACCAAACTGTTTTATAACCCTTCATTTTGTATGTGGTTTTCAGTGGATATAAAAATATTCAGTGGGTGTGTGGGTGGTTTCTCGTGTTTTGGAAATGGTGAGAATATGAGATGCTGTGCATGGGGTTCTGGTATGAGAGCTATAATTACTAACTCTGATTCTTTCCCAGGATTGGCTTATGGGTGGATATCTATCTGAATCTAAAAACCCAACAATGTGGAATCTACAGTAATAATCCACTCCCTCCCATCCCCAGAAATGAACTGTTGTGGTGGGAACGAGGGGGAGCATAGGAAGATGGTTTTTCCCTGTCTTGCCTCCTTTCAGGCCATTCACTGACTGTTCAGGTCAGAGGTACAACTCAAACAAAGGCTGGTGTGGTGGCATCTCCCAGCCTGATGCACAATAGCCACTGCACAGCTGTGGCGGAAAGAGTTCTAAATATAACCCAGACTCATTTCAAATCCTCCTCCCCCATGTCTTGAAGGATGTGGTAAACAGCCTAAAAATACCTGTGTCTGAACCTTTGAGGTATGGAAGGGGAAGGGGCAGGTGGTAGAATTAGGTCCATGTGGTAGTGTGAGGAGGCCTGGCCAGCTATTGGGCCTCCTGCCCAGGGGGCCTGCTATGAAAGCTGCTTGTGGACCTGTCAACCATGCCGTCCTGTTCAAGGAAGAGGGCCTACTCTTGAGTCTTCTATTCAGTGTTGGCAGGTTTCAAGGAAACTATTCATAGACTAGGCATCTGCTCTCTGCCCCTTTGACCTCAAACCTGCAGCTGCCACCATGGTATTAAGGCAGTGTGCTGATTCTTAGTTTTATTTCACAGAATTAGAATTTTAGAGCAGCAAGGACCTTAGCCATTATATTGTTCATAAAACATTCCTTTAAAAACACTATATTTAGGGAGTCCTATTTCTCTGCCTATGTAGTTACGTGGAAATGGAGTCTCAGCCCTTGATTTTAAAAGAAATCGCTGTCATCATTATGTAACAAATAGAAGAATAATGAACCAGTCTTTTTAAAAATATCAATGATCCTGTGCAAAGCTTTTTTTCTTTTTTCTTTTTTTAATAGGGTTTTGAGGCTCATTTTCTCACTCAAACTTCAGTATTTTGCATATAAGGATCATTGGTAACAGAGCCAGAAAGAACACCAAGAGTCTTGTTTTCAAGGATGCTTTCAATATCTAGTTTCTGGAATCCCAAACCATACCATGACCTCTGTGTTCTTGGGAAAGAAGGTTTTCACAGATTACCTCCAATACGTACGAGATGCATTCAAAGTCATGGAGGTAGTCAATGCCATTATAAAATAACATAAATCACCCAACTTTTTAAGTATGTGATGATTACCTTACCCCAGTCTCCTTCAATAAACTCTGAGAAGGCCCAGCAAGTGCAGAGCCTGTGTTGGGTGCTCTGCAGGGAAACGCAAAGATGCCCCAAAAAGCCTATACGGTTAATGGTGGAGTTGAGACCAATTCAGGTGCTGAGTAGTTTTTAATATGTTGGTTGTGGTGGTTACACAATTTTTATAATTGTAACGAGTATGTATCCTCTTCTCTGAGGGTCTCAAAATCCCTTTCTTTATCTGGAAGAGTGTTATTTATTTTTCACCCTGGGTTGAAAGGAAATTGAAAGTTCTTCTTGAATTCTTGAAGTCAACATGGTTGTTTTTATGTCACTTAATGCATATCTGAAATAGCCACCTCTAGAAGCTCATAATTCCCTGGACCAGTACACTTGTAACCAGAAGGGAGATGCCTTGGGAGAGAGTCTGCTTTGGGAGTCAGTGTGGTTTTGTGAAAAGAGCAGGGCTTTGGAATTTTTAGTTCTTTCAGATGCGTAGAAGCCAAGGAGCATGTGGGTACAGAAGGAATCTTCTTTTTCTGTGCAGGTCAAGAAAAGAGGGAGGGAGAGGGTAATATCTAACAACATGTGGTAACCCAAGTGGCATAGTTCCTGAATTCTCAAATATTTCACCTTTGAAATTACAGAATGAAGAGCTTCGAAACCTGTCCCTTTCTGGACATGTTGGATTTGACAGTCTCCCTGACCAGCTGGTCAATAAGTCTACTTCTCAAGGATTCTGTTTCAACATCCTGTGTGTTGGTAAGTGACTCATCTTTTGCTGCTGAGCAAGAAGTCTGATCCTTAGATGTTGGCAGGTGACTGTCAGAGGGGCACATTTTGGGGAAATAGGGGAATGATATTTTTACTCTCTTCATTAGTAAAGTAGGGCAATAACACACTTATATATGTCACACAGTTACAAAGATTGAGACTTATATTTGGTAAATGTTTCATAAGCTTACTGATGTTACTCAAATTGTTATTTTTATTTGTGCCACATGGTCAAATGGTCAGTTCAATATTGTTAATTAAAACTTACTTTAATTTTTGGTAGGGGAAGGGACTTAGATCTCAACTGGACTATTGGAAGTTGAAAGAAGGAGCTGATATGAACATGCATAGTAAGATCATGCAAAAGCATTTTTAGAATTTATTTGTAGGGTCTCTGACTACAGGGCAATAGTAACCTCTATTGAAGTGTTTTTTAAAGATATATTACCTAATGTAAATAAAACCTGAAATGACTCTAACTTCCTTAATAAACTTGATATTTACATTTTTGTTTTTTAGAGCGAAAGAATTTAAAATTCTATTTTATATTTGAAATAAATTTTATGCCCAAATTATCAAATCAAACGTTTGTCTTTATTTATTTATTTTTTTTAAAGATTTTATTTATTTACTCATAGAGACAGAGAGAGAGAGGCAGAGACACAGGCAGAGGGAGAAGCAGGCCCCATGCAGAGAGCCTGACGTGGGACTCCATCCGGGTCTCCAGGATCACGCCCTGGGCTGCAGGCTGCGCCACCGGGGCTACCCCAAACTTTTGTCTTTAAATTGGAATCTGAAATTGATCTTGGTCTATTCCTGGCAGATAAACGGGAAAAAACCCAAGAGACTTGATTTATCTGTCTCCTCAATATGTTTGATTCATATCTTGTATATGTACATTAGATTAAGCCTCTGGCCTTGGTGTTTTTCTTCTCTCCAGCCATATTGTTTTTAAATGAGGAGAAAGAAAGATACAAAAGAAGGTAGGAAAAAACGAGGAAAATAGAAGTATAACTCTATTTGAAGCAGAAATGCCCCTGGAAGAGATAATGGTCTTTCCTTCACTGTCACTCCTGATAAATGGCCAGGTTGTAGAGCAGTGAAGTGGTTTGAGCTGCATTGTTTTGTTGCCATTGTCCCCTGGGTGTATATTTCTGAGACATCACTCTGAGATAGACCAGAAGAAATTCCATACAAAGCCAAGTAGACCATCCTTCCCCTAAGCTTGGCAGAATTTACCAGACTTATTTCTCTTGTCCAAGTAAAATGAAGGAACTTTTAAAAAGGCATGCATTGCATATAAGAACCATCATTTAAAAAATTTGTTAGTTATTAGGGGAAGGGACAGATATCTTCTTTTTCAAAAAACTTGAACATATTAAATGTAGCTCTTGTACTGGGTGTTCATTTGTAGAAAGCCACAACTGACTTGTACACTAGACCAGCTCACACTGTGACATTATGTCTTAAGCATTGGATATGAGAATAACTGGAGAGAAACATGACCAAAGCAGCCAGCTGTCGTGCATTCCCCTTTTCCCTACACAAAGCTGTTTAAGATTCAGCAGGGGAGCTCCTGAATGGCAGCTAGTTCTACAGAGTGGCATAAATGAGTTGTCTTTTCTCTTAGGGTAAATGCTCATTGCAGAGCAGGGCAATTCTTCATTAGCATAGCAATTTGTTGGCAATTTGTTGATTTTCTATTTAAAAGTGTGCTAAATTATAGGCCAATTACTATTCTGGCTTCTCTTCCCTGCTTCTACCAGTTCTGTCTCCAAAATCAGCTTTAAGAATACATGTGAGAGTTATGTCCCAGCCCCTGCAAGTAGGATAAAGCCTTTCAGTGGGATTGGGCTTGCTGGAAGGACGTGGTTTGACCCAGTGTGTGGTGTGCAGTGGGGTGTATTGGTTCATTGGCTGACCCTGTGTGTTAAGTAGCACAATTATAATGCTAGTTGGAATTCATCACGTGCTACATCCATACTGCCCTGATGGATTTGTAAAGTGGCTGCTGTTCTGACTCTCCTGGGTAGGTGACATACCTAAGATTTTTATTCTGGGCTCCTTCTTAAACATGCTTAAAATTAAATTTAAAAAAAAGATTATTTATTTATTTATTCATGAGAGACAGAGAAAGAGAGAGAGAGAGACAGAGACACAGGCAGGGGGAGAAGCAGGCTCCATGCAGGGAGCCCAACGTGGGACTCAATCCTGGGACTCCAGGATCATGCCCTGCGCCAAAGGCAGGCGCTAAACCACTGAGCCACCCAGGGATCTGCTAAAATTAATTTTGTAATCTAATTAAAACAATACAAATTTGTTGTTTAAAAAATTGTAAGCTCCCTTCTACCCCCTACCCCTCCTGCCCTCATTTCCATTCCATAGAGGTAGCACTGTAGAATCCTTCTAGAAATCTTCTACATTTTTATGTACTTTAAAATGATTTTTGGTGGCTTAAAACAACACTGACTTATTATCTTATGGTTCTGTAGAAGTTCCATATGTGTCTCACCAAGCTAAAATTAAGGCATCCTCAGGGCTGAGTTTGTTTCTAGAATCTCTAGGGGAATGACGTTTCCTTTTTGTTGCCAGCTTCTAGAGGCTACCTGGATCTTTAGCTCACGGACCCCTTCCTCCATCTTCAAGGCCAGCAGTGTTGTATTTCTCTCTGATGGTTTTTGTATTTGGAAAATTTCAAAAGAGCATTCCAGAAATCCAGTTTAAACCCCGTTAAGAGGCCTCTGCAATTCCAAAACACACTAAAAAAGTAATATATTGAATCATGTAATTAAGAACAGCTGGCTCTAGGGATTCACAGAGTGTTTTCGAGGCTGTGTCTCTGGTTCTTGATCCTACTTGCTTCTGCTTGGCTTCATGCTCAGGCTTTTTCTTTGTAGGGCTAGTATGGCTTCCAGCAGTTGTTGCTGGCTTAGCAGCGCAGGAAAGCAGCAGCTGTTCCTGACAAGTCTCACTGAACAGACACAGGACATCTATGATTGAGCAGGCCTGAGTTATATGCCCACTCAGGGTGGGATAATGGGTTAGTCCACTGCAAAACACAAGAGGTTCCCTGTGAGAAAGAAGACATGATCAGAAAGATTGGGCATAGAAGAGACACACACTGGACAGAGATGAACAGCTCCCTCACAATTATATAAGTACTTTTATGTTTTGGTTTTACACAGATGAGATCATGCTGTTCATATTCTTCTGCACCTTCTTTTTTTTTTTTTTTTTAAACTCCACAGCAAGTCCTGGCTGTCTTTCCATGCCAATATCTAGCTGTCCAGGTTCTTTTCCTTGACTCTTTGGAACCCTTTGGTTGGAGCCAGCAAGGGACACAGGGGTGTCAGCATCAAGTATTAAGCATACTTACCCACAGATGGTAGAACACATCAAATCCTGTTGTCACAAATATTTTACAGCAAAATATCTGTATAAAAAAACAATTCTCACTGCCAATTAATGGTCCATCTATTTTTAAAGTAAGAGTCTATGAAAAAGTATTCTACTTGATCAAAATATTTTGACAGCCACTTAAAGGAGTAGGTGTCATTTAATTGAGGCATATCCATGGTACTTTGTTTTCACCTTGTCACCCCATTTGTATTTTTTTTTTAACACAGTATGCACATGTGTGGTATTTATAGCATCATTATTTTCATGTGATAAATATGGGAGGGAATCAAGAATTTTATTTATTTTTTAAGATTTTATTTATTTGACAGAGAGAGAGAGCATAAGCAGGGGAAACTGCAGGCAGAGGGAGAGGGAGAAGCAGGCCCCCCGCTGAGCAGGGAGCCCAATGTGAGACTCCATCCCAGGGCCCTGGATCATGACCAGAATTGAAGGCAGATGCTTAACCAACTGAGCCACCTAGGTGCCCCAGGAATTGAGAATTTAAAAAAAGAGTTATGATTCCAGTAAGGAAACTGATCATGTTTAGCAAAAAAAGTCTTGGAATTTTAATTTTGTTTTGTGGCAGGAGCTTTTAGGTTAAAAAGAGGGGAAACAAACCAGGGCAGAAACTAATCCTGGCATGAGCTTAGTGTATCTTTAGAGGCCATGAATTAAGTGTCTGGTATTAGAACCCATCTCTATGGAATCCTGTAAAGAAATATAATAAAGAAGGGAATAGTGTTCAGTCAACAGGGAAAAAAATTCTCGATGTTAAATTGGGTGCCAGAACACTCAGGAGTTCAGAGCGCCTCCCTCTCCATCTTGCTTGCCACATACTAAATCACCCCCAAAGTTGTAATTGTATTTAAATAAAGCCTTTTTCTTAGCCAGGCTGTATTTCTCTAGGGAATCTAAATTATTGTCTTTCTTCATAATTTTAAATTTATAGACCTTATTTGTTCTTCAAAATGGCATTAACTCTATGTGAAGTTTCAACATTGATCCAGAAGTATGTAAGTTCTTTGTGTATATACAAAGATGGATAAAATACTGTAATATCCCTGCTTTTGAAGAGCAATGAGTTCAATAGTAGTAAATTAACAATATGTCTTGGAAATGGAAATCTTTCTTTTAATCCAACCATAGTTGTTTTTTGAGAGGATGACAGAAGAGCAATAGAAAACACCCAAGTTTAAGACCTTTTTCACCAAGACTATAGTGTGAACATAAACTGGAATTTTACACTTAAATCTTTTTTTTTCTCAAGAATTCTATTATTTTTTTTTAAATTTGGGTATAGTAGACACAATGTTACATTAGTTTCAGGTTACATTTTTATCCCATTTTGCTTTTCCAGGAAAGAATATGAAATGATTTACAGAGTGAAATGAATGAGTAAATGAATAAAGATAAGATTAACCCCAGAAAAAAAAGTGAAGCAAAGAATAGAATCAGAACTCAAAGCTATCAAGTCAGTTTGTAGCAGTTAATTCTATCAGGGATACATTTGTCTCTCAGCCAGTGGTCAGAGCATAGAATGAATCCATTCATCCAAAAGATACTCGTTTAGCATACATTATGTGCCAAAC